GTCACAGGTTCCTTTTGTTCTTTTGGCTAAACTAAAGCTCCAGTTTGTCCTGATTGGGTTTACTGCAGAGGTTGAATGGGCAAAAATAAAGCAGGATGTAGTGATGTGAAGGGAAGAAAAAAAAAAACCCCACTGTCTCATCTGGCAAAGGGAAATCTAAACAAGCTTCCTCTGCCTGTGACTGTCATAGAACTTAATGTTAACTACTCACTAGTATTAACATATCAAAGTGATTCTTCAACCCTCTGGAAACTGCTGAAAGCCATCCCTTAAGTGCCACCTCCATGGTGTAACTATTATGTTAATCCCCTATATCTGTTTACTTTTTTGGAAAACATAAATAAATAAAATTTTCCTCCTTATAAATGCATTTCCCTTTTGCTTCTAGGTGTGGTTTTATTCTGTGTGAAGACAATACAACCATTCTGTGCAGAATGTCTAACGTCTGCAATACAGATACCAGGATCCTGTCTAAAAGACGTTGCCGAGGAGGATTCAAACATTCCTTTCAATAACTATTTACATGGGCCGTAGGAATAAAGTTCACCGCCTGCAACAATACTTTTATTTGTTTTGAACACACAAACCCTTCACTGCCAAGAAGTAATGCTATGCATAGCGCAACAGTGAAGTTATTAACAAGTGTTTACACTAGTGCTAATTTTTGTATCAAGAACTTTTTGTATTTATACTCACTATTTATTATGGTATATTAGTTTTACATATTCTGTGTAAAAGAACATAAAAGGGGAGGGGGGCTAACAGCTTACCATTTCAGTTTGTAAAAAAATTCACTTGTATGGCTGACAAAAGTAAACATTGTTTAATAAAAAATCTTTTGCGCTCTGTTTGTAGGCGGGGTTCACTCTCGGGGTGTTGCGTGTGTGTTCCCTTTGGCTTGGCTGGGTAACCCCGTGCATGCAACTCGAAACCAGACACCCCACGGTCAGGGGCCACGGCCTTGGCCTCGTGCAAACACTCCCACACGTGTAGTACTGCGTACATAGGGCCTCATGGCTTCAACCGCCTCTGCGGTCTTCGGCACTTCTTCCCCCTTAGGGAGAAAGGCCACCATGAATGGCACCCTGTGTCAGGCATAGCCCCACTGCGCACCTACCCTCCTCAGATGGTTACAGCCACGATACAGTCCAACATCACACTCCGGTAGAACCCCACCTTCTCAAAGGTTGGAGGGAGAAGAACCAGTCCACACAGATTGTCTTTTTGTTGGTTTTACTTGAAAGAATGAACTTGGTATAAAGCATACATTTCAGCCACCCCCGAATGGGGTGACGGCACATCACTTGTTACTTGCATGGTGATACAATTTAGAGAGAGAGAGGTACATCAGCCCAGGTGCAGCCCAGAGTCACGACTTACTTCGGCCATAGGCACACTGGCAAGTATCGTCAGTCTTCTAGCACTTTACTATTCTCCGGAATCCCATCCATTGTCAGTCCTAGCACGGTGGGTTTCCCTCTGTGGGGAAACTAGGGAATCTTTGTAGCTCTACATAGTCCTAGGCCTGGTCCTGTCCTTCCCATGGACCAGCCTATATTCAAGAAACAGTCTCTCTCCAGAGACTCTGCAGACAGTCTTAGACTTCTTCTGTACTCCTCTGAACTCCCCTTCCCTCTCGGGCGCCCCCTATATATCAACTCTCCTGGGACACAGAGTCTTCCCAGGCCAGAGCTGCATCTATCTCCAGGGCCCCATGGGGGCATCTAGTGGCCGTTGGCCATACTGCACCTACCTGCATTTTTATTCCATGAAGACATGATAGTCCTTTGAAATAATTCTGCTTTCAAAGGTCTGACTATTTTGAGCACTCACCAACCGATGGTGAATGTGTCTTGTCAGGTGATATTCATGAACATTATATGCTATGTTATATGTTATTGTGAACCCAGGGCCTGATGGGCAATAACACAATAACATGATCATTTGTGTTATACAGTTCTTGTTAAAACCTTTAGCAAAAAACTATGGAAATTGGCACAGTGCAGCAATCCTTTGCAAAGAATAAGGTTTAGCAACGCATGGGTCTTAGAGCATTGAGAACAATCAGGAATGGCAGTTTAGATGGTGCAAGTTAGGTACGCTGAAGCCTATCTCTTCCCTTGCTCTAGGGCAACCCCACACAAGTGTTAACTGTTCATTAATGCCTAAGGGTTTGATGAAAAGCACTTTTACTTACCTGATCCTTGCTCCCCTGGTGATTGGTGCTCACCTATCTCCCCTCCGCTCTGGCATGGGGAATGTCCCTTGGCCTCCTCGCATATAATGCAGGGCTATGGGTTCTTTGTAGTGTTATGCAGCAAACACTCTGCAGGACACTGCATGTTCCACACCAAGCTCTGCATCTTGTGCATTAGGTGTAAAATGCAGAGTAAACATTCCGATATCCTGCGAAGAGTGGTATCTGCTTTCTACTTTAAATGCACCCCTAAGATTTTAACAGGTGGTGTGACCTATATGAACTTCTGTTACAGCTGAACTTAAACAAGAGGTATGTAATCTAAGTAAATATTTCTGTTCACTTCTGTTCACTTCTCCTCACATTTTAGTAAATCAAGTCCTTTGTGTTTACTGGAACCTATATACAACTCCAGGTCAACAGTCAATTAATTTGGTCCACAGGCAACGAATGAGCTACAAAGTAAGTTATTAACTTGTGCTGGAGTGGGTGGTTTGTGTTTGGTGGTCAGGTGGACAGTTTTCAACTCACATCTGTTTAAATGCTTATACCAGTAAGTGAGTTTGTCAGATATCACAATTCTCACTATGATACAAACCCAATTTCCAAAAAGTCGGGATGCTGTGTAAAATCTACATAAAATCAGAATGCAATGATTTGCAAATCTCATAAACCCATATTTTATTCGCAATAGAAAATAGAATACATATCAAATGTTTAAACTGAGAAAATCTACAATTTTTAAGCGAATGTGATGAAACTTTACTTTGCAAAGAATAACCGATCATGTGCAAGGTAAATTGAAGAAAAAATATTTTTGCTGCACATGATTGGGTAATGGAAGTCAGCAGATCTTTACATTATTCACTAAGCTAAGGGGAAACTTCATCTGCAAATTCCCTAGCAAAGTGAACAGCCTGTTTGCATTTAGTAACTCAACAGTAAACCTTAAGAATCTACACCAGATGTTATCAGCTGTTCCTAGCAGGAGATGTGCTTCACCCCCTAGCATGATTGAGGAAGGCCAAAGCAAGGTTTTCAGCCAAGCTACAATTGTCACCACACCAATTATTTTTCCCTTATTGATACGGATGCGGAGACTCCACTAGAAGGCATATAGTACACTACTTAATACTTGTGCCTCCCTAGTGGACTGACTACAGAACTATATGGAGTACACACATTTAGGCCATTGACAATGTTTGTACACATATATATATATATATATATATATACACACACACAGTCATGGCCAGAAATCTTGGTACCCCTGCATTTCCTTTAGATAATGCACCATTATGCGCAGAAAAGTGTTGCAATTACAAATGTTTAGGCATTTTCATGTTTATTTCTTCTGTTGTATTAGTATGACACAAAAAAGTTGAGAAAAAAAAGCCAAATCTGACACATTTCACGCAAAACTCCAAAATGGACTGGACAAAATTATTGGCACCTTCTCCAAATTCCAAGAAATTATTGCATTGCAAGTTTTTGTGGAAAAGCATGGACAATCTCAAGGTTACCAGTACATCTCCAGAGATCTCAATGTTTCTGTGTCCACTGTGCGCAACATTGTAAAGAAGTTTACAGCCCATGGCACTGTAGCTAATCTCCCTGGACGTGGACGAAAGAGAACAATTGTTCAAGGATTGCAACAAAGGATTGTTTGAATGGTGGATAAAGACCCCCAATCAACTTCCAGACAAATTCAAGCTGACCTTCAGGCACAGAGTACAACTATGTCAGCTCGCACTATACGTCGCCATCTGAATGAAAAGGGACGCTATGGTAGGAGACCCAGGAGGACCCCACTGCTGACACAGAAACCTAAAAAAAGCCAGATTGGAGTCTGCCAAAACTTTCCTGAGGAAGCCAAAATCCTTTTGGGAGAATGTGCTGTGGGCAGACAAAACAAAATTACAGCTCTATGATAAAGCTCATCATTCTACTGTTTTCAGAAAAAGAAATGAGGTCTTTAAAGAATAAAATACAGTCCCTACAGTCAAACATGGTGGAGGTTCACTGATGTTTTGGGGTTGCTTTGCTGCTTCAGGCGCTGGATGTCTTGACTGTGTGCATGGCATTATGAAATCTGAAGACTACCAAAGAATTCTGGGGTGCAATGTAGGGCCCAGTGTCAGAAAGTTGGGTGTCCGTCAGAGGTCTTGGGTCTTACAGCAGGACAATGACCCAAAGCACATGTCAAAAATCACCCAGAAATGGTTTCAGAAAAAGCGCTGGAGAGTACTGGACTGGCCAGCAATGACTCCAGATCTGAATCCCATTGAGCACCTGTGGAGAGATCTCAAAACAGCAGTTGGGAAAAGCAACCCTTCCAATCTGAGAGACCTGGAGCAGTTGGCGAAAGAAGGGTGGTCCAAAATTCCTGTAGAGAGGTGTAAGAAACAAATTGATGGTTACAGGAAGCGATTGATTTCAGTTATTTTTTCCAAGGGCTGTGCTACCAAATATTAATTGAGGGTGCCAATAATTTTGTCCACTCCATTTTTGGAGTTTTGCATGGAATGTGTCAGATTTGGCTTTTTTTTCCCCTCCACTTTTTTGTGTCATACTAATACAAATAAAAGAAACAAACATGAGAATGCCTAAACATTTGTAAGTGCAACTATTTTCTGCGCAAAGTGCTGCACTATCTGACAGAAATGCAGGGGTGTCAATATATTTGGCCATGACTGTATATATATTATATATATAGATAGCAAGGGTCAAAGGTCTGTCTGTTATGGCCATGCTATAGGTATAATTTCTGTACTAGACAAAAATAAGGCTGGGCAAGTGAAATAATTGTGCCTTACTCCACCTAAAAGTTAGAAATCCATTAGGTTTGTGTTCTCTTGTAATAATTCAATTCAATTACTGATTTCAGTTGTTGACTGTGCATTTTTTGCTTTCTGCTATGTTATAACTCTTTATATAACTAGAGTGATATTTAAATTAAATGAATCAAAATTAAGTAAAAAAAAAAGAGAAAGCAGACCCATAACCTGTTAACTATGCTGTCATCTATTTGACTATTTACAGAATTTAACAAGATGTGTCTTGTTACCATTCTGTGAGATCACATTGGGTCATTAAATAGTGCTTTAAGCTATACATTACAGGCACATTCTTGCTGTGGACAAGCTTCTCTCTTTTTTTTCCCCCTGAAAACATTAGACTTTTTTATCAGAGTTATCAGTGTACATCTATCTCTCCCACGAAGCACAGCTCCTCAGTCTTAGCACTGGTTTAGCTATAAAACAGGAGAGGCAAGAGAACTTCATCTAACTTAATGGCCATGAGGTCTGGCACAGTCATTATAACCATGGCAGTTTTCTGGGTGGGAACCTTGGCACAGAAGCCTGGCACTGAAGTGAAGATTCCATTTCAGACCAAAAACAGGGATGCGTGTATTATGAGCACCAGTGGCACAACTGAGATGAGAGTAAAAATTGAATGTAAAAATCAGGGGAAGAGCTATTTGTGTGAGTTTGCTAGTAAACCGTCCTTCTGCCGGGCATACAACCAAGATCCACGAAGATTCTGGGAACAGCTTAGCCAGGATCTTAAGAAGACCGGTAATCCATGTGAGCCTCAAGTGTTTAAGCACAGCATGTGCCCAAGGGCACCTACTCCTTCTCAGTTTAGGCAAGTTGACCCCAGTACCAACCAACAAGCTGACACCTCCAAGCCAGAGAAGAAGCCTCCACCAACAAAAAAACCCACCACCAAAAGACCAGCTACCACCAAGAAACCAGAGCCTCCAAAGAACAAACAACCAGAAGATGAACCAAACCCGAAAGCTGTGAAGATTGCAAAGGACCATTGCACCTGGTTTTTCCAGACATTCTGCTCCTATATTATTGAGATTTTCTTATAATCTACAGGTAATCTGAAACTAACCCATTTTTTTCATTTTTAGAACTAAATGTGTGTAAAATTGACTGTTGTTATTGATTCTGATTTATGAACATGTTACATTTGTCATTGTTATTATTAGGTAAACATGCAGTCATTACAATAATGAGTAACGTACAGTGCATAACGTGATACAATAAATAAAGGGGTCCTACTTTTAAAATATTAGGGTCTACTATGTTAGGGGGTGATACAGCATGATAAAGCTTTGATGCAGTCATGATTTACAGTATATTAAATCAGATTGGGTTATAATTATGTATGCAAAGTCAGAGAGGGTTAAAAGAATATATGTAAAGTTACAAGGAATATGAGAACTCATGGGTAGTGGTAATATGCAAAGTTGAAATGTTGGTGTAGAGTCTAATGGAACAGTGAAGGGAGTTCCAGATGAAAGTAACAACACAAGATAAATCTTGCAGAAGACAATGAGATATGGTGGTCCGAAAGGAGGTCAATCTAAAGTGTATGTATAGAGAAGGATTAAAACCCATATCAAGTTCATATTCTTGTCTGTGTTCTCCCTCGATTTGTCCTGGTGACCTTTGTCATAGAAACAAGCAATGATTGAAAGACCAACATTTTACAGTTTTGATCAGAACAGGAAGAGCAAGGGAATCTTCCAATATGGACACCAATTCTAGTGAAAATTGTATACAAGGTAGATTTCCATTCCTTATTCTTTCAAAAATTAAAAAGCAAAGTTTTGCCTATACATAGACTTTAAATCATTGCATAATTTGGCAGGCCCATGATTAGCCATGATTAAATTACATGTTTGAATGTAAAAACCTCCCCTAATCTGGCACCTCCTTTAATTTACATCTTTAGTCTCTAGGTATACAGTATATTTATCCAAAACGTTTCCTTTGCTCATACTGTATGTGCATTTTTCCTCCCTTGTCTCTGCTTTTGTGCTGGTCCTCCATTTGAGCACCATTCTCTATTCCTCAGCCTTCCAATCCTTCTAATACAGCTTCCTAATCTATGAATCTTTTTTAGAAACCTTCATTCACACCATATTGGTATCTGCTGTCACCACAATGTTATCTGCACTAAAACAGCAATTGCTACACCTCTGTTACCATATGTACACATCACTGACAAACACGGCACTGTAAAAATGTATAGTATCAATATTATAATTAAATAACAATTTAAAGCTTCTTACTAGTTAAGCTTTAAATAGGTTATCTACATTCATGGGGACTGGCAATCTGAGGTTTTTGCAGCAGTGAAATTGCAGAAAGTCCAGCAATCATGAAAACAACCCTCCAGTGTAAACAACGTTTTATGTAAACATGGAAGCACCCAGATTTGTAAACTACTGCAACATCGCAGAGAAGCTGCAGAGTGCGTTGTGGTAGGGCAGCCCATTAACACTCTTTATTGCTTTGTACCACATTGCATGTAATGTGATGTGATACAACGCACATGGCTAGGTACGCACATGGCTAGGTACATTGGGGTACCATTAGAAATAATGGCACCGCATCGCATCTGACATTGCAATATGTGATGCAGGTTCGTGTGCAATGTCACATGTGCTCCCAGTTGTGAACAGAGCTTAAATATAAAGCATGAGCAATTTGGTCTCCGTGAAGGCTGCTAATAGACAAATTAACAGATCACATATACCCCCCAATAAATTGGTGTCTGTGCCCACCCAGCTTTTAGATTATTGGAATTCTTCTACATAGGTTTGGTAGTTAGAAACATGTAAACTGCAGTTATTTGTACTACAGTACGATTGCATTGGACTTGTTTGGTCAGTTGAAATGCAAAAATAAATATGCATAGTTCTTTAACATTTGGTTCACCTGTTGAGCAACTACTCATTTGTAGCATCATTTATATTGACTTATTTGCATTTGTCTTATCATTCTTGATATAGTATTATTGTTTTCTTATTTCTACATATTAAAAGAAAGACATTTTTAGACAGGTTCTCAAGTTTTTAAGAAATAAAGCCAGCAGTCCCTTTTGAGCCCCCTCCCTTCCTCTGCCAATTACAGATTGATTTTTTCCTGGCAAAAGTAGACCAACAGCTATAAAAAAAATGATGATGGGTCAATGTTTTCATAAGTGGTACAGAAAGTCCTCCATTTTCCTATGTACTTTTCTCACATTTCTCACACAGAAATGTCTCTGTGATTTTTGTTGTTCTTGCACTATAAGGTTCCAAATGTTTTCTGTAGTAATGTATTCAGTAGTTAAAAGGGCTAAGTCAAGCATGTGGCCCATAAACTCCTTAATTGCAGCCTGCTAAAGTTCTCCCTGCCTGCCTACCTTGAGTGAGCAGAAGAGAGCTCTAGCAAGCAACAGGCAAAGTGACAGCATATGCTGATGTGGTTCTGTTGAGCAGCTAGACGGCATGACCACAGTTGACAGTGACAGGTGGTGAGTAGGCAAAATACTCAGCTGCAGATGTGGCTCCGGGCACTGATTGTCAAGTGTTGGGCAGGTATGATCTTCAGCACAGCCCTAGTTCATAGTGATGCAGGTCTTTGCTTGCACAGAAAAAGGCTGTGTGAAGGTGTGTCAGTTTGACCTTGTCACTTGAATGAAGGTGGTTTGGCAGGCAGGGAACAGTGTGTGGTGGACATGTGCTGGGCGGTGAATCTGAGCTGAAGAAATGGTGAGGAGATAATTTGGTCTGCAGAAGGGAGTGGGCAATACATCTGAGTTGAAGGTGGTGGACTTGAGTTTGAAATAAATTAGTTAAATGATAGGCTACATGACATGAGCACTGCATTCACTGCACAAAGTATTATGAAATACAGTGAGAGGTCAATGATGCACTGGCGGAGGTACTGGTACAACAAAGTTCCTCAGCACATGTGCTGGGCTCTGAGCAGAGAATTTGATCACAATGCTGCAGCTGCTCTGGTTAGTCCAAGCAGTCAAATCCTTTCAATAAGTCATCAGTAAAGTATGTGTTTTTTTTCATGATTTCTGGCACTTTTGTCCACAATGAGATTAGTTTTTTTCTGATTTAAAGTGCACTTATCCTTAAAGATAAACTTTTCAATGTGCAGCACTTCTATGTGGCTTTAATAGATACTTAAGCATTGTAAACAATGATCACCAATGTGGCATGGAGAAACCTGAAATTTGTTGCTGGGTAATATACACTGAGTGGCCAGATTATTATGACCACCTGACGTTTGTAGGCAAATTAGTTATAATTTTGCGCTGAAGTTGCTAGAGGGCCAGACCATTATAAATAGGGAAGCAGGTTGTTTACCACGACAGTAGAAGTGATTTTTTTCTGAAGATATGGATAAACAATGCGATTTAACAGCCTTTGAACGTGGGATGATTGTTGGCGCTCTGAGCCATGGAGCGAGTATCAGCAAAACAGCAGAATTTGTTAAATGTTCAAGAGCAGCTGTTGTTAAAGTGTTTAAAGATTGGACTGTCAGCCGAAAATCTGGGTCTGAACGTGCGAATTGTGGCCGTCAGCGACTAGTCAGTGTTAGGGCAGAACGGAGAGTGGCAAGACTGGTACAAGACAACAGAAGGGCAACAGTGCAGTGTCAGATTCCTCGCATCACCTTTCAACATCTCGTGGAGTAACGAGGCGGCCCAACAAAGTCATCTGGTGGAGTCATCTCGTGGCCCAACAAAGTACTGATGGGGTGGTCATAATAATCTGGCCACTCAGTGTATATGCGCTTCGTCACAGTGCTGACACATACAACAGTGCTGCTCACCTGGAATCTCTCTAATGCTCTCTCCAAAGCTGCCTTGTTAGCCATTATGTACAGATCTGGAAACGAGCCTGGTATTGCATTGACACTGCAGAAGTTCATATTATCTACTAGAGCTCCAAGACTCTGGGGCAAACTCTGTCCTTCAATAGGAATTCATGTTGAGTCATGATATACCCTACCAGCCACAGTCAGATTTGGGAGGAGGGAGACTCCTACAGAGGCCATGAACAGAGCTTTAGGCTTACTGTCTTTTAAAGGAGAACTATGGGGTTAAGGCTTTTCCCCATAGTTCTCCTTAGGGTAACGGGAGGCCACAAACTAGTGTCCTCCCATCACCCTAGGCTCGGTATACCGTGAGCTACAGCTCACTATATACTGAGACCGCCGCAGTATACCGTGAGCTACTGCTCGCGGTATACTGAGGCGCCGCAGCTGAAGCTGATCCCGACAATTATGCCGGGATCCGCCCAGCTGTGTGACTGACAGCTGGCTCTGCCTATCTAGAGGCAGAGCCAGCTGTACCCGCCCCCTCCCCCATCCGATCCGCCAGTAAGCGCTTGCGGATTGGGGAGGGGGGAATCCAGCCCCTCCCTGTCACGGCAGAGAGTAGTGACAGGATCGAGAAGTGAGCGAACACCTGTATGTGTTCGCTCACCTCCCGATCTACTGAGCCTACCTGTGACAGTCTCATTGTCACAGGTCGGCTAGAACTATGAGGTGAGTGAAAAGCACTCACCTCATAGTTCTCCTTTAATACCTGTCAACCATGACTGACGCACAGGACTAAAGGTGCCCATACACCCTGCAATCATCAGATTAAAATTTTTGTACGATGAATGAACAGTGCGATTTTCGTACCGCGGTCCCATCCTGCCCCGACCATCGCACAGTTCAATTAGCGGTCTTTAGCAGAAATCACCTGGACGAATTTCGTTAATCGACCGCACGGATTTTCGTTTGCGCATGAGCAGTGTTAATCGTACGAATTTTGACGTACGGAAACGCCACCAACCTTGCGAAAATCGTACGATTGACCAAAGTTTTCTAGCCTGCTGGAAAGATGAATGTCGTACGATTGTACAGTGTTTGCGGTTGTAGACTCCCCATTAGCCTTACGAATATCAGACGAAAACGTGTTAGCAAACAAAAATCAGCCGATATTCGTAAAGTGTATGGGCAACTTAAGACTTGTCTGTGTCTTTAAAGAGCCTGAAGCTGTACAAACAGAGGGGTTATTCACCTGTCCTGGTCTT